AAATCGTACTTACCAGCGGTTATAGTTGATTTCGTTAAAAGTGCAATAAAATATCTATACAGTCTATACTTAAATGTCCTCACTTTACTATAACCCTTCATCACGTTCGTAACCATTATACAAAGTTGCAAGTTTAACCGCTACACACTTAAACACTTTATTCTGATTCATTCTGAGAGGAGTAGGCAGGAGTAACAAATAAACAAGAAAATTGCTAAATAATTTTATTACCAATAGCACATCTATCGCATCGTTCACCAGTCCAATTTGTATCACATGAACATTTATTATCATCGGTAATATGTCCATGAATACACACTAATTTTTCGTTGCAAAATGGTCCAGTAAAACCTCTATCGCAACGACAAAATCCTGTACTCTAAAAATTTACACGAAAACGATTAATGATGAGTAAAAATAATCCATAATATTGCTGTTATTATTGCTATTATTATTGTTACTATTAATACTAATACTTGTCTATAATTCAGCAACAGGTCAACACAATTATTAGACAATTAAAAAACAATAAAACCTTCAAAGAATGACAACAAATAATCAATTAAAAAATAATAATAAATAAAAACTAACTCCATCCCAAACAAAATCTCCATTATGACATAATCTTAACTGGCAGAAAATTCCCGAAAATCGATCTGAACATACACATTTACCATTCTCCAAACGTCCATTGCTTTCAATACAGTAAGTTACTTTTTCGCATCTGCTACCTGTGAAATAACCGTTTCTCTGCGTTACCAAAAAATATGCATCCCAAGTTGCTGATTTAAACATTTTTAGAAGATAAACTTTAGTAGGTTTTAAAGCTAGTAATAATTAGTACAAAGAAAGAAGAGGAAAAGCAATAAAAAAAGAAAAGGATACCTGTTGTACCCCAGGGACAATGGCAGGAGGAATCAGATGCTTTGATACCATCGTTTAAGCATGGTTCAATTTCGCACTGTTCACCTTCGAAACGTTCTGTGCATTCGCATTTGCCCTTCAAAACAATAAATTATCAACTGTGCAAATACGATTAATAAATCGTTCACCAAAAAAAAAAAA